AAATTTACAGCTCTTATATAAATCATACTTAAATTGAAATGATTCTCTTTTGGCTTTTAAATGAGTTCTACTTATAGTTATTTTATTTTATTTATTTTGACATACATAACATGTCGGTGGAAGAGTAAGACAAAGCACCAGTTTAAATATATAATTTATTAAGGATGTTTCTGTACTTAGGCCTTCTTCAGAAAACTGAGTGTTTTGCACGCACCAATCATTATAAACACTAAAAACTAGGAAACCAAAAGACACAGCAACAAAGAAGGGAAACTCAACGAAACCTCAAAAATGCGCGCTCAGATATAGAGGATATTACGTGGCCGCGCGGATTTTGTCTTCGAGTCAGCGCAGCGAACGAGTGAGATATTTTCGCATGGGAAGATAAAATTCGTATCTCCAATTGACCATGTATATTCTGTTTATCATATAATTATGTATGTAAGCAAATTAGGTCATTTTTTACTTCCAATATATGTGGTATTTCCACTAGTAAAAATAGCATTTCAAGAGAGAAAAGTACTGAGGTATTTCATAAATAATCCTATGGAAAACCAACTTATTATTACAGTCAGTAATCTTTCCCTATCAAATTTGAAGTCGCATATTGAGCATTCCTATCTATTTTAGTTATGGAGGAGGGAAAAAAAAGAAAATTGTCGTGGACAATTCATGACGTATTTAGCTGGGTTTTAATTGCCCTACACGCCACGAAAGCACGAGAACAGTTGCATTTCTGACTTCTTGGCAAAGTTTTATTCTATCACTTGAAATTATGATTTTTTCATAGCAATATTTTTCAAAAAAATCGATTGCCTGACATTTATAGATTTTCGGAACACTCCGTCAGGTAATCGTAAATTAAATCTCATACTGTCAATCTTGTGCATACAACCTTGTCGAACAGTACTATTTCGGACTTTGCTCCATTTCTCTTGTATATCAACAACAAAAAATCGATTGCTTAACGTTTAGTTTTTTTGATAATTCCGTCCAGTTGCTTTCCGAAACTCTTTTATAATTCAAAATCAAAGGCAAAAAAAGGAAAGGATCATGTCACGTACGCTTATCACATAAGACACAAACACGCAGCTATGAAGTTTATTAAGCTCTCCTTGCATCATCAGTGACAGTCTCACTCAAAATTGCTCGTAGTATCAAATTGCTTTCAAATGGCCAAAAAGCTTGTTTTGAATTTCAGGAAGTCTTCCGGCCAGCTGGCAGGATAATAATAATAATAATCTTAGAATCTTTGAGTTACTTAGTGTGCTAATGGATTAATTTGAACGAATGTAATCCAAATTACTTTTTCTTTACATTTTTAGTCAATTTGAAAAAATTAATGGCATATCAAAATTCCAATCAAATCGAAAGCGGTTACCGTCCTATTATATAGCCACATATTAATCCCAAATAGGTAAAAGCTGGATTTTTCGTTAATTTTGGAATCCTGTCCAATTAAGAAATTAATTGGACAGGTTTTCAATTGTGTTTTTGTTAAAAGATGTGGTTGGCTTTTACCTATTTGGGATCAATATGTGGCTATATAATTAACACGGCCTCGTCCAATTTTTGGCAGTCCTCGGAATTTTCCTCGTCTAATTATTTCTTAATTGGACAGCATGGAGTCCTATTACATATAAAAATTGACAAATAGATTGATCTGTTCTTCGCTGTTATTTGGATGATTTCAAATGCTATTTAAGTCAAATCCAAATTTTGTTTCTTTCATACTTCTAATGTAATATAAAATTCCATAGAAATTATGATATTTAATTTTTGCTCACATTTCAAGTTTATATAAAATATATCTGAAATTGTGATATCATGGCCAATATTTTCTTGGTAG